AAGGATCCAAGTGGTATTTCAGCCCTGGGGCAAGGGCTGATGAACGAAAACCCGAGGTGGTTTCTTCAGACGACGATGAGATAATCCCATTGACACCTCGGAAGCCACCCGCCAAGTTACCAAGTTGGATGACATTTGGTCCACCCACAGACGGGAGCAACAATCCAACTACCCGTCCAAACCCACAGAGTTCGAACAAGGACATAGAGCCCAAGTGGAATTTCCAACCTGGGGCACGGGCTAATGAAAGAAAACCCGAAGTGATTTCTTCAGACGACGACGAGATAATCCCAACGACACCTCGGAAGACACCCACCAAGTTACCAGGTTGGATGACGTTTGGTCCGTCCACAAACGGGAGCAACAATCCAGCTGTCCGTCCAGCCCCCCATAATTCAAACCAGGACAAAGCACCCAAGTGGAATTTCCGTCCTGGAGCAAGGGCTGATGAACGAAAACCCGAAGTGATTTCTTCAGATGACGATGAGATAGTCCCAACGACACCTCGGAAACCACCCACCAAGTTACCAGGTTGGATGACGTTTGGTCCGTCCACAAACGGGAGCAACAATCCAACTGCCCGTCCAAACCCACAGAGTTCGAACAATGGAAACGAGTCCAAGTGGAATTTTCAACCTGGGGCACGGGCTGATGAACGGGAACCCGAAGTTGTCTCCTCAGATGATAGTGAAGAAACCATTGAAATACCAACCCAAAGGCATCCGAATCCAACGGTTTGGACATCCTCGGAACCAAGTGGCACTGGTTTCACATTTACTAGTAGCGATGATGATGAACCCATCCCTGGGACTTTTTCGGACAGAATATATATCGAGAGTTATGGGAATACTACTCCCAAACCCGTGGATACAACATTTTCGGAACAGTCCTTTTACACTTCCTTCAAATATAGCGCTTTCAACAATCCATGTTCAAAGAACTCTTGTGGTTCTCCACACAGTTGTTATATTCCTCCACTTTACATATCTCCAGCTTTCAATCGCAATCGTAAGACTTCGAAGTCGCGCAATCAAGGATCCTCTGAAAATGACTCGGATGCATGTGCTCTCGGTCTACGTGGTTGTCGTTGCCCCTGCCAAGGCTGTCGCCCTTCCAAATGTAGCTAACCTTCGACTGTACTGTAGCCTAACTAGGATATATATTCATAGTGGGTAAAGTACTGCTTGGTGGAATGATGATTTCGTTGAATTCTTTCAAGTCAATACGTTCACTGGTTGAAATATAGGGATAGTGTTACATTTTTACATGAATTTTTTCGTGCTATTCAGAGTGGGTTCCAGAATAATATCAATGGCGATCGAATAAACCTTTCAGTTAAACTCAATGGTTCCTAATCTATAATTGTTGTACTCTCATCAGTATTTATTGCGGTTGGTTTTAACAAACTATACCACTATCGTGTCCAGGTATGAAACACAGTAACAATGATGTAAATCGTGGCAATGTAAGTTTATAACGTTTTCCAAGTTCAAGTATTGGAAATTTAAAAAATAACCGCGCCACCGGAAGTGCAATCCATTACAAACGACTTTAATTTTTAAGAACCGCAGCCAGATTTTCAAAGAGTGGGCTGGTGCATTTTCTCGTCAGATCATTGTTCCAATGCATCCCAAGATAATAATATCATTTTGCATTCCATGTGGCTAAGTATCATTGCCGGTTAATACATGGCTTTTATAATCGGCATTTATGATTCACTGGTGCTATAATACTGCAAAGTGTCATGGCATGCCTTGTTGTCGTCAATCATTTCCACTCTTTGATTGGTTGCATTTTCTAATCAGGTGAATGATAACGGTTGTAAATTATTAATCAGAACGCAAAACTTTCAATGTGCTGGCGTCCACATATGCCATTCTCAATCACCTCGCCACCATTATGGCATCCATCCCCGGATAGCCTGTCATATACCTTTCCAGTTTAAATGTTGAAAAACCTATGTCCTCCATTTCCTACTACTCATAAAACTTTTGGTCTCTACCAATTCTTTACTGTTGCTATTGACCTTCTATCGACCTATCATTGTCAATGTTTCTCTCCCATATATGTATAATTATTATCTCCTGCTGGGGTTATAGGGATATCTTACCTTAGTTTACCATAGTTTAGATATTAGATTATTAAAGTTTACTCAAATTTTATTTGTCGTCTACATTCTAACATTAACTATCATTGGAAACAGAATATCATCATTAATAAAATCTAGGAACGGGTAATTTTCTCCAGAAAACAGGTGATAAAAGATGTAGGTTAGTTTAGAGATGGCTCCCCTTTGGATCTTTGCTGCATTGTCGAGAAACTTCACTAGATAATTACCATTCACCAACACCGAAGAAGCGTAACTGCATGGATTGGGGTGTTCAGTATATAAACCCATGCCAATCGTGGCAGTCTTCAAAGCAATGGATATCTCTTTTGCGCTTTTTTTCACTTACCTTTCTGTAGCGATTAACTACGAATATCCTTCATGCGCCAATACTCTCGGTTTTTTAAAGCTTACCGTGTATCCCAGTGTCTTTTTTTAGCTCCATCCTCATTGATATTGACTACCCGTACCTTTCGGTTGCTTGCTACGCAGCAAAAATCAATCGCATCCGAATTTGCATAGTTATTTTTCAACGCGGCTCTAATGGTCAATCCCTAGATATGTCTGGTAGAAATATCACTGAGTTCCCCAACATCCACCGCTTGTTCCGTGAATTGAATAAGGAGGAATTTTGGGACCTCCTTGATGGTGTTGATTTGGAGTGGGCTGATGACCTAGGGTCAGATACCGAAGGGGCATGTACCGTAGACACCAGTACCCGTACCATCAGTATCCAGCTTAACAAGCGTGCTTTGCAGTCCAAAACGACCGATAAAGTGGCCGAAGTACTCGCCCGTCAAATGATACACGCGTATTTGCATTCAACACATGCTTTCGATGCCGGCAGGACGGATGGGCCTAGTTTTCAGAAGCATTGGAAACGACTTTTGGATCTCTACAACAACCATAACCCTGGTCAGTTAAATGCTTCCAAAAGATTATATTTTAAGCCAGCAATCTCCACTATATGTTAATAAGATTAAATTTGGACATTCTTTACCAACCGATTTCAGGGGAGTGTGTATAATTTTCAGCTTGGTTGACGAATTGATTTATTCAAACTGCGGCCAGGCCCATTTTTTTGCATTTGGAAGCGCTTCTTTGGTGGAAAATGTGCTCCCCCATTGGTGATCATAGCGAAATAAATTCTTTTACTATCCTCAATTTTTTCCACAACTGGTCACTGACCAAGATGTGAAAAGTGTAGAGTGTACTATACCAGGATGTTTGCGGGAGCCATTGAAATATGAGAATGGCAACGGTAAGGAGCAGTGATGGAAGTATAGTGTCTTTACTACTGTGACTTCGCCTGTACAGTACGTTAGGGCGTTACTTGGAATTCGGATTCGTGTGTACTTTTTTTTTGTTGGCATTCTTTGAAACAATCGCTTTAGCTACAGCACAACAAAACGGCCTTAACCATTCGTGGTTGTACATTTGCCTTAGCCAAGTAGCCCTCTGCTTATTCCATTTATAGTATTACTGTTCTATGTGGTCATTTATTTACTACGTGTCGTACTTTAGCTAAACGCAAAAGTAGGGGAATAGCACTTATCGTTGTATTTTACATGTCGTAAAGCATGGGCGACTCGGTGGATTTCGAGATTCCCGACGTTTATGCTCTCTTTCAGGATTTTAACCGTCGTTACTTTGGGAGTAAATTGGGCAGCGTTGAAGTCAAGTGGTCTTACAAAATGCGCCTATGCGGTGGTGTGTGCTCTTACCAACCCCGGGACGGTTATTGCTGCATTCGGTTGAGCGAACCGCTGCTCAAATTTCGACCGGTTAGTGACCTCGTCAATACCCTCCTCCACGAAATGATACATGCGTACTTATTCTTAACGGGAGGTAATCATAGTCGGGACGGTCACGGTCCCGAGTTTCAGCATCATATGAAGCGTATCAACGATATCCACGGTAGCCGAATTACTATTTACCATAGTTTCCATGACGAGGTGGATTATTACCGAACGCATATCTGGCGTTGTGGAGGACCTTGTCAAAATCGACCTCCTTATTTCGGGATAGTGAAGCGTAGTATGAATCGACCACCCCAGTCAGCGGATTCTTGGTATGCGGAGCACCAGCGAACGTGTGGTGGCACGTTTGAAAAGATCGCCGAGCCTGAGAAAAAACCTCCAGCAAAACGCAAGAGTACTTTGCCGTCATCATCAACAGCAGGTCGTACCCTGGGCCGTCCACCAAATGATTGGCAATTAGGCACTAGCCACCAGGGCAAAAATATCACAGAACTACCGGCACAACCCACTCTAGCTAGGCTGTGGGCCGCACGTCCGGACAAATCCCGAAAGATTGGGGTGGATTCCGAGTCGTTAGCTAAAACTCCTACTCCTGAAACGCCCCAGGATTCATCACTGGCCAAGACTGAAGCCCAAGGTCATACGAATACTGACCCAATTAGTACGGTTATTGACCTAACCACCGCCGATGTTACTTCTCCCAAACCCAATGGGAAGATACCATCCTGTTCTACTACTGACCTGGAAATCACTAGAGTTATTGAATCGACATACTCTATACCCACTAGTGTCATTTGCCCCGTGTGTAATATGTCAGGAATTGCACTGGAGACTATCAATTCTCACTTGGACCTATGCCTTGGGTAGAAATATCACATATGTGATGCATTGACATTTAAAACAGATATACGAATTTGCTGTGTAAAGGGAAGTTGTGGATGGGCGATACCAAACTATACATGGTTATCACAGCTTATTAGTGTTTCATTAGTGCTGATGACTTGCACAATTTTGAAGAGCTGTGAACAGCTTTGGCCAACAAAAACTAAACATCTCTTGCCAGTTTTTTTTTGTCAAAATTCAGCGCCGTGCTCAAGCCAGCCGACTGCAGCAAAAAAATTACAAAAAAAGTACTCCGAAACGGGGAATCGAACCCCGGCCAACGCGGTGAGAGCGCGCTATCCTAGCCACTGGACCATTTCGGATCTTCACGTTCTGTGGGTTAATTTTTCCTCCTTTGTAATTATAGAGAAAACTCTATTTTAGTTTCATCAGGAACTTGCATCCCCTTGCGTTTCTAGTCTTGTGTTTATAGTTTGTTTAACAATGTATACTGTGATGAATCGACGCGGTGATCCTTGCTTTCTGACGTTTTGAGTAGTTTTTTGGACTAGCACTAAATATGTCGCTATAGTGCTTGATTTTTGTGTTGCCTTATTATTTTTATTACCAACGGCCATGTCTAACTGCTTGATAAGAAAATTAAGCCCACGAACATGTTGTTCTGAAAAGTTTTTTTTTTCTTGCGGGGTATCAGGAGATATCATATTCATGCTTAGCTAACAGTATAGTTATTTGATCGACTTATTACAGCACAGCAAAGATTGATAGTAAAAACCGATCAAGAGCACTAATGTTAAACTTCCAAAGGGCGATAGATTGTGAATTAATAGAGCGCATCTCCAATTTCTGTCTCAGAAATAGTAACTTTCCGAACGTTCAGTTGTAGTCTTTGCAATCCGGGTAATATACACCACTATTAACCCAGACAAGCCAAGATAGAAAGGGATTTTGGAAAGGTCTTGCTTCGAGCGGAATACCTTTTGTATTTTAATTTTTTTTAATACTTGATTCGTTTTCTGCTCATAGTTCTCCCCAACCTCTCAAAAACTTTTCCCCACTAAGCCCACTACTAGGAAGACCTCCCCTGATAGTCAGCCTGTTTGTCTGGTATTTTCGCTTTTTTACCTTTCGTTATACACCACCCTCTAACCGTTCCAAAGCACTGGGCAACCCAAGTCACATCCACCCCTCCCCATTCCTTCTAATTTTCCGAGGCTGTGCTTATTCGCCTTGTATTGGTTCCCCTTTTGAAAAAAGTTATTTTTTTTCGTCAATCCACCTGGCTGTCCCCACTTATGCGGATGGAAGGCCAAGGGCGCATTCGTAGTAATACCATCCGCAATGACCCCTCGGTGGGTGTCCCCAGCCTGGAGCAGTTCTGTGTACGAACTCTAGTACGGAATCTCGACTATCTGACGGAAGTTGGAGATGTTCCTTTGCGCCTACTTGAACCGGTGCTAAAGCACTGTACCGGAACTCAGTTACAAAGGCTGGAATTGCATAACCCACATTTTAAAGCACACACGGATGACTATTGGAAACACCTGTGTGAAACCTACTTTCCCCCAGAGGCCTTGGGTAACACGGCGGATATTCGCAAGGACGACCACAGCACTTGGCGGGACCATTTTCGCTGGTGCGAAGAGGAAAAGGCTCGTAAAGTGGAACGCGCTGCGGCGCGTGTTCGGGGAGCCTATCAAACGGAGGCTCAACAACGCAAAACTCGTCAGCTGGTGGTGACCAGTTTATCCCCGCAGGTGCTAAAATCTGGGCTGGGGATAAACAAGTTTCGAGTCGAAAAGTCAACGTCGAAGCGGCAAATGACCGCTATGCAGAGAATTTACCACCAAGCCCGGGCCACTTCATCCAGGATACACGCTGCTCGACCATCCCGACGATCAGACATATCCTATGCGAGTACACCGCCAGGGCGTCACACCGCGCCTAGTCCCCCCGCAAACCCACATAAAATACACCAGAACCGTAGATTTCCCCCTGCCGAGAAAGACCGACCCAAATCACCACTGGGGGCGAAACATCACCCGAAGTCTCCAGCATCTAATCCTGCCTTTGGCTTCTTTTTACAGGTAAGTTTGTCGTCTCCCATTGGCATTTCTGCTATAAAGCACAGTAGATATCTTGTATCCAGTAAGGTAAACATAACAAGGCTCTGTTTATGTAAATTTTTCAATCATTTTACACCATGCAACTCATTCATTCAGCTTTATTAACCCCCCCCCACTGCTTGCTATTACCGTTATTCACATCTTACTGTACAGATTGACCCTAAACTGGCTGCAGCCCATGCCAAGAATCCCGAACGGCTAGGTGGCCCACCAAGGAACCACAGTGCACATATTCCCCGAACCTAACACAAGGCAGAAGCATTTGAGCCATAATTCTTATTTCCATTCTACATCGCGGCCTAGGAAACACTCTGTCCCACTTCTCTACTTATCTGTAATCCATTAATCACTGTAATAAAGTACATCTCTTGCTTTTCCATTGATTAATATCCATGTCCGGACATGTAAAATCATACAATGGAGACCATAAAGTATCCATGGATGTTGTTGGTACTTGTTTGGTGTTTAGGAACACATAACGTGGTGTGGTCTTACTGATGGGTTAAAAGGGGGATGAAGGAAGCAGTGGTACACGTGCAACCAAAGGGTATTCACGCATAGTCCGGCTGAATAAAGAGAGAGCTGAGGAATAGGTGACATTATAATTCCAGCTGGAGGGGGCCATAAACGTGGGTCCCGATCCAACAGGGAGGGAGGGCCCAAGCTCTAATTCCTTTGCTACTGTAAAATCTGAGCGGGAAAATATGTATTGGAACAAGTTTTATCACTCTTACTCCTTCTTTTTCTACTCTATTCTTTTTATTTTTATTTTTTGGAGTTTAAAAGAGAAACAGCAGTGGTTATACCCTTTACTCTCTTTTGTTTTTATAAAAACGTTGTGTGCAGTGCACACGCCTAGTGCTTTTCCTCTGTTTCCCACATCTCTTACTTTTCGTCCGCCAAAGGTATTTCTCACTCATGGCGAAACACGGTGCCTCTTTTTCGAATAGGCTGCGTCGCTTTGACGCTTACGCCAAAACTTTGGACGACTTTAGCACCAAAACTCTGTCTGGTGCCATTGGTAAGTACCTCGTCGCATTTGTAGCCTATTGACAAGTATATCAAGTGCTCATCACGTTAATGCGCAACCTTTGGGTCAGCTACCCTAGACGATTGCGGAATTCCTTGTCGTGTGTGTATGGGGGAAACCTAGGAAAAGACATAACCTTGGACTAACCTAATGTCCCGCATCTACTCTTCTTTTGGTGCTGTCACCCGGTCAACTCTCACATAACCCTTATCTACTTGACTTTGGTAGTCACTCTGGTGAGTTCGCTACTTATCCTATGTCTGCTGGTGTCGGAATTTTCCGACTATCGGGAGGTGGACATGCGCCCTCAGTTGGTCGTAGACAAAGTGCGCGGGGAAAAGATGGTCATCAACATCAACATCACGTTCCCTCATGCGCCTTGCTTTCTGCTCAATTTAGACGTCATGGATGCCACGGGAGAACAAGAAGCGAGTGTTGACCATGACATTTATAAGGTCCGGCTGGACTCCTTGGGGAACCGTATTTCCGAAGTACGAGACAGCCAGCATGGGCCCCATCGGTTATCGGTTTCTACGGCAGAAAAGGGGTTAACCAACGACAAATCCAAATGCGGGTCTTGTTACGGGGCCAAACTTCCCTCGGGAGAAACGTGCTGTCGTACTTGTGACGACGTCCACAGGGCATACCGTAACCAAGGATGGGCCTTTATGGATCCAGACAAGTTCGACCAGTGCGTCCAGGAGAATTGGAAGCAAAAGTTGGCACGGCAGTCCAAGGAAGGCTGTATCATTCACGGGTTCGTCTCAGTAAACAAAGTAGCGGGTAATTTCCATATAATGGCTGGAGAAAGTTCTGTTCACGACAACATGCATATCCACACGGTGTACAGCTATATGCCCAACGACTATGACTTTTCGCACACCATCAACCACTTGTCCTTTGGGCAAAAGTACCCCAACATGGTAAACCCATTGGACGGCTCCACAAAGTCTGCACCGGTTCGTGACTTGCAATTCCAATACTTTCTCAAAGTCGTCGGAACCGAACTCAATTATATCTCCAAGCCCACCATCATGTCCAACCAGTATTCAGTGACTGAGCACGCCAAACAGTACTTGGCTCTTCCGTTCACCGGCGGTAACACGGGTGTCTTTTTCCACTATGACATCTCGCCCATGCGGGTGGTTTATAGCGAGCATCAGAAATCGTTGTCGCACTTTCTTACCAGCTTGTGTGCCATTGTGGGTGGCATCTTCACCGTGGCTGGGCTTTTAGATGCGTTTATTTATCGTACCGAAACTGCCCTGCGTCGCAAGGTCGAACTAGGTAAACAATTCTAGGTTACGTTTGAATCTAGGAATGGGAACAGAGGCCAGCTGATTGCAATGACACGATGTGTATACTATCCCAATTCCTTGATTTTATCTATTTTTCTTCATTTAAATGACTTTTACGCCATGATTCTATCCAACTGAGGCCCCAGTCAAAGCTGACATGAATAAAAACGGCAAGTATTTGACTTTTTTCTTGCATCTACTCCTTTTGAAAGTACTATTCCCAGTCATTAAAACTGGTAATAGGTCGAATCCTTGCTTGGAAAGGTATATAGTACAGTCGAATTTATTGGTGAGGTAACAACGTTTGCTACTTGTAGTACAGCGCAAATAATTCGTCGCTAATACGTGGAAGTGGGAAATATTGGGACGGTTTTCTCCGTGTCATACAATTTTCACTGGGAGCTTTCAGATGGGTCGGGGATAAATTTCACCCGAATCAACAGAGAAATGGGTAGTGCCTTGGCGGTCACCACCAATTCATCGCCATCGTCCACTAATGCACAAAGGGGTTTCTCTAAATTGGGACGGGTGGCCTCTTCTAGCGAGGGTGGGCTTTGCATGTAGAGCGAGCGACTCCCCACTCCAACACTGGGATTTTGTAGCTGAATGTCAGGTGTATCCGACAAGATTTCTAGGAATTTTTCCAATGTAGTGTTACGGTCTATTCTCATTACTTTGGTCTCACGTCCGCACACGGGACAATCAGGTCGTTTTTCATACTTGTAAGTATAAGTATAAATGCCATCGGAACCAGTATACATCATGTAGTTGTCCAGGGTGGGTTGGCAACACGTTACCAATTTCAACGCCTCATTAACGCAGGCACTGGCAATGATGGCGTTGGTGTAAGCAAGGGCCGGTACAATGTTTTTAACAACCCCCTGAGTGAGAGAATAGGTAACCCCAGG